ATATTAGTCAATATCTTGCTCAATTTGGAGGATTCAGTTCCATTGATAAAATTCAAGTGCATTTATTTTCGTTTTCATTAACTAGAGCAACTTTCTCATTTGCTTCGTTACCCCCAAATTCTATTCATTCTTAGCAGCAACTAGAAAAAAATCATGGTCATTTTCATTGTTATAGGGCTAGGGTGGGTCCGGTTAAACCGCACAAAGTCCTCGTGAAACTGCCATGTGACTCCAGGACGTAGCCCGTGACCTTCACTACCAATGGTGGTAGGCATGTGGACGCGAGAACCAACAAGATGGGGGCAAACAAAACCACAAACTTGTCATGTGGGTGAACCATTCACCACAAAACAAAAGGTGTGTGGGTGAGCCATTCACCTTCAGCAGATCTACCACGAGGATCTTCTTAGTGGTCATGTTCAGGAGCTTGCGGTTCATAGCCCTAGCCACCGGCTCCGTCACGATCTACATCTGGGACCTTCTAAATCGGAAGTATACCGACCGAGTGGTAATACTTAGTGCCTGGCAGAAGTACCACACCTATTGGTCTGGTAAAAACATCCCGTTCACCTATGTCGCGTAGGGACAACAATACTTGCTCCTACAATATGGAATATATATCTCGACCTCATTCTTAAGTACGCTCCTTTGAACATCAAATCGTACAACTTGCAACCAACTACTCACTGCCATGAGCTAGTCGTCATCATCGACCATATTGACAGTGCAGAACTGCCTGTCCATGTCAACAGCGACCACCAGTTGCAGGTGTTGTTGCTCCAGCTCCTAAGGTCGTTGTGGTCCCGAGACCATGTCATGGCCATTGAGCTCCGGTAGATCTACCTCCACGACATTCGTGGTGGTCATGTTGAGGAGATTGCAGCGCATGTCCCCAGCCACTGGCTCTGTCCGTAGGATCCACCTGCTTGCTCGGCGTAGGCCAACCCAGTCAAACATGTGCGCATGGGAACCAACATCGATGGAACAAAGAAAACAAATGATAGATCTTAGGTTTTAGCTCGACGACGGACAGGGCCAAATGTTTGTGTAGCCTAGGGCACATGAAATGGAATTGATACGCGAAGGACGGAATCCAAGAACATGTACCAATTGGGTTGACTCCTGTGGAGGAAGCATGGCAATGCGCTGGGACTTCCTCACGGTCTCCGCCAATGGTCATCAATTCGTCGCTCAATCGAAAAGGGGAGAAGTAGAGTGGCGATGGGAGGGTTGTGTTGGCTGCTTGCCGACGTGGAGAGTTCAAGATGGACGAGTGGGGTTGCGGCTGTGTTTTTGGTGAGTTGCTATAGGGCATAGGATGGGTCCGGTTAAGTTAAGGCACTTGTGGTGTGTGGCCCAAACCGTCAGCTCCCTGAGCAAGATCCACCAGAGACGGTGGAAGCGATGGTCGATGACGCCTACATCGAGCAAGTGGGGGTTTGTGGTGCCCGTCCTCCATGGATTGCACACCGTGCGAAACCTCAAATTCCACCATGTAGCATCCAGGACGTAGCCCACGGCATTCACTACCAGTGGCAATAGGCATATGCATGCGAGAACCAACGACGAGGGGGACAAACAAAACCATAAAACCAAGACTATATCAGTCCATGCATAGAAATCAAAGGAAATGACGACACAGAGACAGATGTCGGGTTCTCGACCACAGATGACAGACGATAGATATGGAAATGGAGCTAGAGATGCGCGAAGGACTGAGGCAACACACTAGCGCGTACTAGTTAGGGTTGGCTTCAGCGACTGAAGCATGTTTTGCGATGCGCTGGCATCTCCTCACGGGTGCCTCCATGGTCGCTCGGTCAGATGGGAATAAGAGTGTGGAATAGGCCAATAAGGCCATTCCGAGTTTAATGACATCATACTCAGATATCCAAACTTGTCATCTGGGTGAACCCTTTACCACAAAGCAAAAGGTGTGTGGGCCAGCCACTCACCTCCTACATAGCGATGCAAGGCGGGTTACCTGCAAATAGGCTGAATTTTTCTGGGTTACCCACAAAAATTTGGCCTATTGCGGGTTCACAGACAACCCACCTTGCATCCCTACTCCTATAGATCTACCTCGAGGACCTACTTAGTGGCCATGCTAAGGAGCTTGCAGTTCATGGCCCTAGCCATCGGCTCCATCACGATCTACATCTGGGACCTTCTAAATCGATGTGGTTCTTGCTCCAAGTCCACCACCAGGTGCTCGGTGCGGTTGATGTTGTAGAAGCGGCCCTAGAAGGTAGCCGTGGATCTCTACCATAACTCAGGGTCAAGGCCACCTACTAGGGTCCGGCGCGCTTCTCTAGGATTGGCGATGGCCATCTGGTTGTCGTTGCCAAAGTAGACAACGGCGGTGGACACATTGGTGAAACCGACGACCGTCACCCTCATGGCCCTCATGGAACACGTTGGGAATCGGCCCCCTGCTACCACGCTGCAGCGTCCTCAACATCGAGAGATCGACGACGTGCCTGATGAGGGTGTGGAGGAGGCGCATGATAAGACCTCTCCTCGCGCACCACCAGCATACCCTCCGACAACGCGATGGATCCTGAGACCATGACGTGGCCATCGAGCTCTGACAGATCGACCTTGATGATCCTCCTTGTGGCCACGTTGAGCACTCTGCGACGTGTGGGTGTGGGCTCAAACGTCGGCTCCGTTAGCAGGATCCACCAATGAGGTTGGAAGCGGTGGTCGATGACACGTGCATCGGGCTCACGGGCTTCTTGGTGTCGCTGTCGTCCATCCACACCTTGGACACCACAAGGAACCGCGTGAAGTCCGCCATGTCACGGTCCAGGAGGCGACCGACGACATTCTCCACAACCAGCGGCGGTAGGCCAGCCCAGTCACACCTGTTCATGCAGGAACCAGCGACGATGGAGACGGCAAACACAAAGTCATGAGCCAAGTATTTATAAGAGACTAACTACACACGTACACAAAGAAGAAATCGACGATAGATCTAGAGTACTCTCTCAGACAAACAAAATGGATCAGATTGCGTGAGGGAAGGACGAAGGCCGATAGCACGTACCATTCGGGACATGACTCCGGCAAGGGAAACGCGCCCGGCGATGCTCTTGGACCTCCTCACGGTTGTCTCCGCCATGGTCGCCGTGGCTCGTCGCTCAGTCATCGGAGAGGGGAGAGGCACGGTGGGGACAAGAGGGTTGTGGGGACTACATGCCGGCGGAGAGTCAAAGAGGGACGAGTAGGGGCTGGCGGCTATGGAGGTGGGCTCGATTTCTTCTCTCTAGCAAAAAACTATCAGCTGCTAGGCGCGGATCCATATCCCTACATAAATCATGTGTGTGGCAATGCGTGTAGCGGACAGGAGCAGGCGGCGGCAAGGTTTAGACACGCTGTCAGCACCAGTACGCAGCCCGCGACCTTCACTACCAGTGGTGGTAGCCAAGTGCACGCGAGAACCAATGACAAGGGAGGCAAACAAAACCACAAAGTTGTCGTGTGGGTGAACCATTCACCACAAAGCAAAAGTGTGTGTGTGTGTGTGAACCATTCACCTTCGGTAGATCTACCTCGAGAACCTTCTTAGTGGTCATGCCGAGGGGGTTGCGGTTCATGGCCTTAGCCACCAGCTCCATCATGATCTACATCTAGGACCTTCAAAATCTTACTAACAGTAGTATGCTAAAATTTTTACCACATGGAAAGAACTAATTTGAGATAGTGAGACTATATGTGATCATCATAGATGATACACTATATGAACAGGTAACATATATAGATGACTATCATCGTACCAACAAGGGAAGCATTTGAAAACAAACCATTTCACAAACTTCCACGTGACAGAGTTCATTACAATAACAATGGGCATGTTCGCTGGTTGGTGCTGGTGCTGGTTTGGGCTGGCTGGTGCTGGTTTTTTGTGAGAGGAAAACACTGTTGACTGGCTGGTTTGGGCTGGTTGAAACCAACAAGCGAACAGGCTGATTATGTCAAGTACAAGTTAATAACTAACTAGTTCACCAACTCAATACAAATTGACGACATTGAACTCAGCATGTAATGTCGAATACCCTAACTATCAAATTATTATAATGCAACAATAGTTTACTAGAGGAATAAAAACGTCACATAATAATATGACATCACAAGCCACAGTGCTCTCAAAGCATGTCATTACTACTCGATGCCAGTGAGGGTGGTGACAAAGGAAGCTACATGGTTTGCATGTCTACCCCATACTAAAGCTATATAGCCCGTGTGACGCCTATGAACTTGGAATGCACCAAAATGCCTTTGGTACCTTCTAAACTGGAAGTACATCATGCCACGATCGACCGAGGAGTAATAGTTGGTTCCTGGCAGAAGCACCACACCTCGTGGTCCGGTAAAAATAGCTCATTTACCTAGGTCTCGGATTGGCAACAACATTTCCTCTTGCAGATCGATATGGAATCCCTTGATCTGCGTCTCTAGTAAGCTCCCATGGGCATTGAATCGTACAAATTGCTCCCGACTGCACACCACCATGAGCCTACCGCCGTCGTCCACCAAACTGACGGTGCAAATCAAACTACCGCTCCACATGTCAACGACGACCACCAGCTATGGGTGTGGTCGTTGCTCTAGGTCCACCACCAGGAGCTCGGTGCGATCAATGCAGTAGAATCAGCCCTAGAAGGTAGCCGTGGCTCTCAGTGGGAACTCGGGATCGAGGCCACCTACTAGGGTCCAACGGGCATCTCTAGGCGTAGCCACGGCCATCTGATTGATGTTGCCGAAGTAGACGACCACAGTGGGCGTATCAGCGAAGCCAAGGGCCGTGACCTCGTGGCCCTCGTGGAACGTGATAGGTATGGGCTCCCTACGGCTACCAGGCTATAGCGTCCTCAGCGTCGGGTGGTCAACGATGTGAGGAACTTGAGGAGGCACATGACAAGAGTCCTCTCCTTAAGCACCACTAGCATGCCCTCTGGCGCCACGTTGAGTCCTAGGACCATGGCATGGCTGTCGAGCTATAGCAGATCGACCATAATGATCTTCCTTATGGCCATGTTGAGCATATTGTGGTACGTGTCCGTCAGCAGGATCCACAGGTGAGGGTGGAAGTGGTGGTCGATGACGTGTTCACCGAGCTCATGGGGCTTCTCGGTGCCACTGTCGGCCATCCATAGCTTGCACACCAGGCGGAACCACATGAAGTCCGCCACATCGCTGTCCCAGAGGTGGTCGACGATGGTCTCCACCGCCAACGATGGCAGGCCAACCCAGTCAAGCATGTTCTTGTGAGAACCAGTGACGATGGGGATGACAAACATAAAATCACGAGCCAAGTATTTATATGCGACTGACTACACAAGTACACAGAGAAGAAATTGACGGCAGATCTAGAGTTCTCTCTCACACAGATGAAATGAATCAAATTGTGTGAGGGAAGGACGGAGGCCAAGAGCACGTACCATTTGGGACTGACTCCGGCAAGGGAAACACGACAGGCGATGCGCTTGGACCTCCTCACGATCGTCTTCCCCATGGTCATCACAACTCGTCGCTTGGTCGTCAAAGAGGGGAGAGGTAGGGTGGAGAAAGAGGGTGGGGGGGGTTGTGTGTCGGCGGAGCGTCAAAGAGGGATGAGTCGGGATGGCAGCTGCAGATGCCTATTTAGGCGAGTTGTTATAGGGCATGGAGGTGGGCCCAGTTTCTTCTCTAGCAAAAATGGTTAGGTACTAGGCACGGATCCCAATCCCTACATACATCACTTTTTATGTGGCAGCGCGTGTAGCGGCCATGAGCAGGAGGGGCCAGCATTTAGACACGCCGCAGGTGTCGAGCCACAGAGTGTGCAGGCGTCGTGCGTGGCGTCCATGTTTTGCTATGAGCGAGCAGGAGCACCCCGCGTTGGTTGGGTGATGCCCTGCCTTGGCCTACCCGGATGTGGGTGGAACCAGGTGACCAACACACGGTGTTGAAGAGCGTGACGAGGAGTGGGCCTTCATTTTGGAAACAGCGCGTCTGCGGCTACCAAAACTCGGGGCAAACTTCTGGCCGGTGGACGGACTAACCAGCGGAGGCAACCCATGGGCACAGATAGTCCACTATGTGGCACCAGTACGCAGCCCATGACCTCAAAAACCAGTGGTGGTAGGCAAGTGCATGCAAGAACCAACGAAGAGGGACAAACAAAACCACAAAGTTGTCATGTGGGTTGACCATTTACCACAAAGCAAAGGTGTGTGGCAGAGACATTCACCAGCAGCAAATCTACCTCGTGGACCTTCTTAGTGGTCATGTTGAGGAGCTTGCAGTTCATGGCCCATCTCCGTCATGATCTACATCTAGTACCTTCTAAATCAGAAGTATATATATCTGCCGAGTGGTAACACTTAGTGCTTGGCAGAAGTACTGCACCTGGTGGCCTAGTAAAAATAGCCCGTCCACCTAGGAGGCACACGACGAGAGTCCTCTCGCGCGCCACTAGCATGCCCTTCGACGCCGCGTCGGGACCTGGGAGCACGGCGTGGCCATCGAGCTCCAGCAAATCAACCATGATGATCTTCCGGGTGGTGACGTTGAGCAGCTTGCGACGTGTGGGCGTGGCCTCAGGCGCTGGCTCTGTCACCAGGATCCACTGGTGAGGGTGGAAGCGATGGTCGATGACGCGTTCACCGAGCTCATGGGGCTTCTTGGTGCCGCTGCCTTTCATCCACAGCTTGCACACCAAGCGGAACCGCATGAAGTCCGCCACGTCCCACCATCCAAGAGGAGCCCGTCAATGTTCTCCACCGCCAGAGGTGGCAGGCCAGCCTAGTCACGCCTGTTTGCACTGGAACCAGCAACCATGGGGACGACAAACTCAACATCATGAGCCAAGTATTTATAAGTGACTGACTACACACGAACACAGAGAAGAAATCAACGATAGATCTGGAGTTCTCTCTCGGAAAGACAAAATGGATTTAATTGTGTGAGGGAAGGAAAGAGGTCGAGAGCACGTACCATTCAGGACTGACTCCAGCAAGGAAAACATGGTGGGCGATGCGCTTGGACCTCCTCATGGTCGTGTTCTCCATGGTCATCGTGGCTCGTTGCTCGGTCGTTAGAGGAGAGAGGCAGGGTGGGGACGAGAGGGCTGTGGGGGCTACGTGCAGGTGGAGAGTCAGAGAAGGACAAGTGGGGGCTGGCGGTTGCGGTTGTCTGTTTAGGTGAGTGGTTATCGGGCACAAAGGTGGGCCCAATTTCTTCTCTAGCAAAAAATAATCAAGTATTGGGCACGGATCCCTATCCCTACATACGTCATGTTTTATGTGGCATCGTGTAGCGGCAAGAGCTGGAGATGGCAGGATTGAGACACGCCACAAGCGTTGCACCGTAAAGCGTGCAGTTGTTGTGTGTGGCATCCGTGTTTGGCAATGAGCGAGCAAGAGCACCCCACGTTGGTTGGGTGATGCCCTTCCTTGGCCTACCCCGAGGTGGGTGGGACCAGGCGACCAGCAACGGTGTTGTTGAGCGTGACAAGGAGTGGGCCCTTCGTTTTGGAAACAGTGTGTCCACGGCTTCCAAAACTAGCGGCAAATTTCTAGCCGGCGGGTGGGCTAAGCAGCGATGCCAACCACCGAGCACAGCTAGTCAACCATGTGGCACCAATATATGCAGCCCACGATCTTCACTACCAGTGGTGGTAGGCAAGTGCACGCGAGAACCAATGACGAGGGGAACAAACAACCACAAAGTTGTCGTGTAGGTGAAGCATTTACCACAAAGCAAAAGGTGTGTGGGCGACACATTCACCTCCAGCAGATCTACCATGAAGTCGACGCTCGTCACCTTGTGATCCTCATGGAACACATTCAAAATTGGCCCCTTGCGGCTACCAGGCTGCAGTGTCCTCAGGGTCGGGAGGTCAATGATGTGATGGGTAGGGAGGTTGAGGAGGCACATGACAAGAGTCCTCTAGTGCACCATTAGCATGCCCTCCGACACCGCGTCAGGACACGGGAGCACGGCGTGGCCGTCAATCTTCGGCAGATCGACCTTGATGATCTTTTAGGTGGTGACATTGAGCAGCTTGCGGTGCGTGGGTTTGGCCTTAGGTGCCGGCTCCGTCAGTAGGATCCACTGGTGAGGGTGGAAGCGGTGGTCGATGACACATTCACAGAGCACACAGGGCTTCTTGGTGCCACTGTCGTTCATCCACAGCTTGCACACCAAGCGGAACCACATGAAAGCGTCGCTGTCCCAGAGGTAGTCAGCGACGTTCTCCGCTACCAGTGGTGGCATGCTAGCCCAGTCACGCCTGTTCGCAAAGGAACCAACAACGATGGGGACGACAAACACAAAATCATGAGCCAAGTATTTATAAGCGACTGACTACACAGAGAAGAAAAAGATGACAGATCTAGAGTTCTCTCTTGGACAGACGAAATGGATCAAATTGCATGAGGGAAGGATGGAGGCAGAGAGCACATACCATTCGGGACTGAATTTGGCAAGGGAAACGTGGTGGGCGATGCGCTTGGACCTCCTCATGGTCGTCTTCACCATGGTCATCGTGGCTCGTTGCTCGGACATCGGAGATAGGAGAGGCAGGGTGGGGATGAGAGGGCTACGAGGGCTACGTGTCGATGGAGAGTCAAAGAGGGACGGGTGGGAGGTGGCGGCTGCGGCTACCTATTTAGGTGAGTGGTTATAGGGCACGGAGGTGGGCCTGGTTTCTTCTCTTTAGCAAAAAAAATGGTTGGGTACTGGGCACGGATCCCTATCCCTATGTACATCATGTTTTATGTGGCGGCGCGTGTAGCAGCCAGGAGCGGGAGGCGGCAGGGTTCAGACGCGCTACAGGTGTCGGATCGCAGAGTGCGTAGGCATCGTGTGTGGCATCTGTGTTTGGTTATGAGCAATTAGGAGCACCCTGTGTTGGTTGGGTGATGCCCTGCCTTGGCCTACCTAGATGTGGATGGGACCAGGCGGCCAGCACATGGTGTCACTAAGCATGACGAGGACTGGGCCCTTCATTTTGGAAAGCGTGTCTGTGGCTTCCAAAACCAAGGGAAAATTTCTAGCCAGCGGGCGGGCTAAGCAGCGGAGGCAACCAGCGAGCACAACTAGTCCACCATGTGGCACCAGTACGCAGCCCACGACCTTCACTACTAGTGGTGGTAGGCAAGTGCACACGAGAACCAATGATGCGGAAGACAAATAAAACCACAAAGTTGTCTTGTGGGTCAACCATTTGCACACAAAGCAAAAGGTGTGGGCGAGACATTCACCTCCAGTAGGTTTACCTTGAGGACCTTCTTAGTGGTCATGTTGAGGAGCTTGCAGTTCATGGCCTAGGCACCGGCTCTATCATGATCTACATCTGGGACCTTCTAAATCAGAGGTATACCGGCCGAGTGGTAATACTTAGGCCCTGTTTGGTTGAGCTGTGGCTGTGGGAGAAAGCTGTTGTAGGCTGTGAGCTGTGGAAAAGTTGTTGTGGGCTGTGAGCTGTAGAAAAACTAAAAGTTGTTTGGTTAAACAAGTATAAAATATACCTTTTATCTTTATCTCTCTTGAAACAACTATGGAAGAGCTTTTTATTCCACCAATTTAGAAAAGCAGAAAGCCAAAAGCCAAAAGCAGGGTCAAACCAGCTTTCAAAAATGAACTACGGAAAAGCAGCTGCTTCTGAAAAAGCACCCTCCAAAAGCAGCCCCTTTGGTTGGGCTTTTGGCTTTTGGGGCCAAAAGCCAAAGCCAAAAGCCCAACCAAACAGGGCCTTAGTGCTTGGCAGAAGTACTGCACCTGGTGGTCTAGTAAAAACAACTCGTTCACCTAGGTCGCAGATGGGCAACAACATTTGCTCTTGCAAATTAACATGAAATAAATCGATCTCTCCAATGGGCATCGCATCGTACAACTTGCTCGCAACTACTCACCGCCATGAGCTTATCGTCCTCGTCGACCATATTGACTGCAGAACTGCCTGTTCATGTCAATGGCGACCACCAACTATAGGTGTTGTTGCTCCAACTCCACCAACATGAGCTCGTTGCAGTGACGCAGAAGTAAAACGACCCTAGTCCCTGGAAGGTTGAAGTGGATTTAAGTGGAACTCATAGTTGAGGCCACCTACCAATGTCTAGGGTGTGTCTCCGGGTTTGGACACGGCCATCAGGTCTATGTTACCGATGTAGACCAGGACGATGGACGCATCGACGAAGTCGACGCCCATCACCTCGTGATCCTCATGGAACACATTTGAAATGGGCCCTCTGTGGCTACCAGGCTATAGCGTCCTCAATGTCGGGAGGTCAACGACATGACGGGTAAAGAGGTTGAGGACACACATGATGAGAGTCCTCTCGCACACCACTAGCATGCCCTCTGATGCCGCGTCAGGACCTAGGAGCACGGCGTTGCCATCGAGCTCCGGCAGATCGACCTTGATGATCTTTCGGGTGGTGACATTGAGCAGCTTGTGGCATCTGGGCGTGGCCTTAGGCGCTGGCTCCGTTAGCAGGATCCACTGGCGAGGGTGGAAGCGGTGGTCGATGACGCGTTCACCAAGCTCACGGGGCTTCTTGGTGCCGCTGCCTTTCATCCACAACTTGCACACCAAGCAAAACCGCATGGAGTCCGCCACGTCCCACCGTCCAGGAGGCGCCCAACGACGTTCTCCACCGTCAACGGTGGCAGGCCAGCCCAGTCACGCCTATTTCCATAGGAATCAGCAACGATGGGGACGACAAACACAAAATCATGAGCCAAGTATTTAAAAGCGACTGACTACACGAGTACATAGAGAAGAAATGAATGACAAATCTAGAGTTCTCTCTCGAACAAATGAAATGGATTGAGTTATGTGAGGTAAGGACGGAGGTCAAGAGCACAAACCATTCAGGACTGACTCTAGCAAGGGAAAGGCGGTGGGCGATGCGCTTGGACCACCTCATGGTCATGTTCGCCATGGTCGTCGTGGCTCATTGCTCTATCGTTAGAGGAGAGACGCGGGGTAGGGACGAGAGGGCTACGGGGGCTACGTGCCGGCGAAGAGTCGAAGGACGAGTGGGGGCTAGCAATTGCGGCAGCCTATTTAGGTGAGTGGTTATAGGGCATAGAGGTGGGCCTAATTTCTTCTCTCTAGCAAAAAACGATCGGGTACTCGGTACGGATCCCTATCCCTACATACGTCATATTTTATGTGGCAGCGCGTGTAGTGGCCTGGAGCTGGAGGCGGCAAGGTTCAGACGCACTACATGCCTCGGGCCACAGAGCGTGTAGGCGTTGTGTGTGGCATCCATGTTCGGTTCTAAATGAGCAGGAGCACCCCACATTGGTAGGGTGATGCCTACCTTGACCTACCTAGAGGTGGGTGGGACAACGCGACCAACAACGGTGTCGCTGACCATGACGAGGAGTGGGCCCTTTGTTTTGGAAATAGCGTGTCCACGGCTTCCAAATCTAGCGCCAAATTTCTAAACGACAGGCAGGCTAAGCAGCGAAGGCAACCAGCGAGCACAGCAAGTCGGCCATGTGGCACCAGTACGCAGCCCGCAACCTTCACTACCAGTGGTGGTAGGCAAGTACGCGCGAGAACCAACCACGAGAGGGACAAACAACCACAAAGTTGTCATGTGGGTGAACCATTTACCACAAAGCAAAAGGTGTGTGGCCGAGACATTCACCTCCAGTGGACACCCGCCACCTCGTGATCCTCATGGAACACATTCGAAATGGGCCCCCTGCAGCTACCAGGCTGTAGCGACCTCAGCGTCTAGAGGTCAACGACGTGACGGGTAAGAAGGTTGAGGAGGCACATGATGAGAGTCCTCTCGCGCACCACTAGCAAGCCCTTCGACGCCACGTTGGTACCTAGGAGCACGGCGTGGCCATCGAGCTCCGGTAGATCGACCTTGATGATCTTCCAGGTGGTTACGTTGAGCAACTTGCGGCACGTGAGCGTGGCCTCAGGCGTTGCCTCCGCCAGTAGGATCCAACGACGACGGTGGAAGCAGTGGTCGATGACGTGTTCACAGAGCTCACGAGGCTTCTTGGTGTCGATGTCGTTCATCCATAGCTTGCACAACAAGCGGAACCACATGAAGTCCGCCACGTCCCACCGTCCAGGAGGCACCCGGCGTCGTCCTCCACCGCCACCAATGGCAAGCCAGTCCAGTCACGCCTATTTGGATAGGAACCACCAACGATGCGGACGACAAACACAAAATCATGAGCCAAGTATTTATAAGTGAATGACTACATAAGTACACAGAGAAGAAATCAACGATAGATTTGGTGTTCTCTCTCGGACAGACAAAATGGATTGAATTGTGAGGGGAGGACGGAGGCCGAGAGCATGTACCATTCGGTACTGACTCCAACAAGGGAAACGCGGTGGGCGATACGCTTGGACCTCCTCATGGTTGTGTTCGGCATGGTCATTGCGGCTCATTGCTCGGTCATTAGAGGAGAGAGGCAGGGTGGGGATGAGGGCTTCGGAGGCTACATGCCGGTGGAGAGTCAGAGAAGGACAAGTGGGGGCTACGGCTGCGGCTGCTTGTTTAGGTGAGTGGTTATAGGGCATAGAGGTTTGCCTGATTTCTTCTCTCTAGGAAAAAACAGTCGGGTACTCAGCACGGATCCCTATCCCTACATACGTCACATTTTATGTGGCAGCGCATGTAGCGGCCTGGAGCTGGAGGCGGCAGGGTTTAGACGCGCTACAAGCGTCGGGCCACAGAGCGCATAGGCATCATGTGTGACATCCGTGTTCAGCTATGAGTGAGCAGGAGCACCCCGCGTTGGTTGGGTGATGCCCTGCCTTGGACAACCCAAAGGTGGGTGGGGCCAGGTGACCAGCAACGGTGTCGCTAAGCGTGATGAGGAGTGGGTCCTTTGTTTTAGAAACAACGCGTCCACGCCTTCCAAAACTAGCGTCAAATTTCTGGCCGATGGGCGGGCCAAGCAGCCAAGGCAACCAGCGAGCATATCTAGTCGGCCATGTGGCACCAGTACGCAGCTCGCGACCTTCACTACCAGTGGTGGTAGGCAAGTGCACGCGAGAACCAGCAACGAGGGGGGCAAACAACCACAAAGTTGTCGTGTGGGTGAACCATTTACCACAAAGCAAAAGGTGTGTGGGCGAGACATTCACCTCCAGCAGATCTACCATGAAGTCGACCCCCGTCACCTCGTGATCCTCATGGAACACATTCGAAATGGGCCCCCTGCGGCTACCAAGCTGTAGCGTCCTCGCCGTCGAGAGGTCAAAGATGTGACGGGTAAGGTGGTTGAGGAGGCACATGACGAGAGTCCTCTTGCGCACCACAAGCATGCCCTCTGACGCCACGTCGAGACCTAGGAGCACGGCATGGTCGTCGAGCTCCGACAGATCGACCTTGATGATCTTCCGGGTGGTGATGTTGAGCAGCTTCCGGCGAGTGAGCATGACCTTAGGCACTTGCTCTGTCAACAGGATCCACCGACGAGGGTGGAATCGGTGGTCGATGACACATTCACCGAGCTCACGGTGCTTCTTGGTGCCGCTGCCATTCATATCCACAGCTTGCACACCAAGCGGAACCACATGAAGTCTGCCACGTCCCACCATCCAGGAGGCGCCCATCGACGTTCTCCACCGCCATCGGTGGCAAGCCAGCCCAGTCACGCCTGTTTGCACAGGAATCAACAACGATGGGGACTACAAACACAAAATTATGAGCCAAGTCTTTATAAGCGACTGACTACACAAGTAAACAGAAGAAATCAACGACAAATCTGGAGTTCTCTCTCGGACAAACGAAATGGATTGAATTTTGTGAGGGAAGGATGGAGGCCGAGAGCACAAACCATTCGGGACTGACTTTAGCAAGGGAAATGCGGCAGGCGATACGCTTCGACCTCCTCATGGTCGTGTTCGCCATGGTCATCGTGGCTCATTGCTCTATCGTTAGAGGAGAGAGGTGGGGTGGGGACGAGAGGGCTACGGGGGCTACGTGCCGGCGGAGAGTGAAGAAGGACGAGTGGGGGCTGGCGACTGTGGCTGCCTATTTAGGTGAGTGGTTATAGGGCATAGAGGTGGGCCTGATTTCTTCTCTCTAGCAAAAAACGATCGGGTACTCAGCAAGGATCCCCGTCCCTACATACGTCACGTTTTATGTGGCAACACGTGTAGCGGCCAGGAGCTAGAGGCGGCAAGGTTTAGACGCGCTGTAAGCGTTGGGCCACAGAGCGTGTAGGCGTCATGTGTGACATCCGTGTTCCGCTATGAGTGAGCAGGAGCACCCCGCGTTGGTTGGGTGATGCCCTGCCATGGCCTACCCAAAGGTCGGTGGGACCAGGCGACCAGCAACGGTGTCGCTGAGTGTGACGAGGAGTGGGCCCTTCGTTTTCGAAACAGCACGTCCACGCCTACCAAAACTAGCGGCAAATTTTCGACCGGCGGGCGGGCTAAGCAGCGAAGGCAACCAGCGAGCACAGCTAGTCGACCATGTGGCACCAGTACGCAGCCCGCGACCTTCACTACCAGTGGTGGTAGGCAAGTGCATGCGAGAACTAGCAACGAGGGGGACAAACAACCACAAAGTTGTCATGTGGGTGAACCATTTACCACAAAGCAAAAGGTGTGTGGGCGAGACATTCACCTCCAGCAGATCTACCACGAAGTCGACGCCCGTCACCTCGTGATCCTCATGGAACTTATTCGAAATGGGCCCCCTGCGGCTACCAGGCTGTAGTGTCCACAGTGTCGAGAGGTTAAAGACGTGACGAGTAAGGTGGTTGAGGAGGCACATGACGAGACTCCTCTCATGCACCACTAGGATGCCCTCCGACGCCGCGTCAGGACCCGAGAGCACGGCGTTGCTGTCGAGCTCCGGCAGATCGACCTTGATGATCTCCCGGGTTGTGACATTGAGCAACTTCCGGCGCATGGGCGTGGCCTTAGGTGTTGGCATCGTCAGCAGGATCCACCGATGAGGGTGGAAGCGGTGGTCGATCACACGTTCACCGAGCTCACGGGGCTTCTTGGTGCCGCTGCTGTTCATCCACAGCTTGCACACCAAGCGAAACCGCATGAAGTCTGCCACGTCGCACCGTCCAGGAGGCGCCTGGCGTCATTCTCCTACGCTAGCAATGGCATGCCAGTCCAGTCACGCCTGTTTGCACAGGAACCACCAACCATGGGGACGACAAACACAAAATCATGAGCCAAGTATTTATAAGCGACTGACTACAAAGCACATAGATAAGAAATCAACGGCAGATCTGGAGTTCTCTCTCCGACAAACGAAATGGATTGAATTGAGTGAGGGAAGGATCAATGCAGAGAGCATGTACCATTCGGTACTAACTCCAGCAAGGGAAACGTGGTAGGCGATGCGCTTGGACCTCCTCACGATCTTGTTCGCCATGGTCATCGTGGCTCGTTGCTCAGTCATTAGCGGGGAGAGGCAGGGTGGGGACGAGAGGGCTACAGGGGCTAGTGTCGGTGGAGAGTCGGAGAAGGACGAGTGGGAGCTGGTGGCTGCGACTGCCTATTTAATTGAGTGGTTATAGTGCATAGAGGTGGGCCTAATTTCTTCTCTAGCAAAAAATGGTCGGGTACTCGACATGGATCCCTTTCCCTACATACGCCACATTTTATGTGGCAGCGCGTGTAGCGGCCAAGAGCTAGAGGTGGCAAGGTTCAGACACGCTGCAGGCGTCGGGCCGCAAAGCGCGTAGGCGTCGTGTGTGGCGTTCGTGTTCGGATATGAGTAAGCAGGAGCACCTTGCGTTGGTTGGGTGATGCCATGCCTTGGCCTACCCGAAGGTGGGTGGGACCAGGCGACCAGCAACGGTGTCGCTGAGTGTAACGAGGAGTGGGCCCTTCGTTTTGGAAACAGCGCGTCCATGCCTTCCAAAACTAGCGGCAAATTTTTGGCCAACGGGTAGGCTAAGCAGCGAAGGCAACCAGCGAGCACAGCTAGTCGGCCATGTGGCACCAGTACATAGTCCGCGACCTTCATTACCAGTGGTGGTAGGCAAGTGCACGCGAGAACCAGCAACGAGGGGGACAAACAACCACAAAGTTGTCGTGTGGGTGAACCATTTACCACAAAGCAAAAGGTGTGTGGGCGAGACATTCACCTCCAGCAGATCTACCACGAAGTCGATGCCCGTCACCTCGTGATCCTCATGGAACTCATTCGAAATGGGCCCCCTGCGGCCACCAGGCTGTAGCGTCCTCAGCGTCCAGAGGTCAAAGACGTGACGGGTAAGGTGGTTGAGGAGGCACATGACGAGACTCCTCTCACGCACCACTAGCATGCCCTCCGACGCCGCGTCGGGACCCGGGAGCACAGCGTGGCCATCGAGCTCCAACATATCGACCTTGATGATCTTCCGGGTGGTGACGTTGAGCAGCTTGCAGTGCGTGGGCGTGGCCTCAGGCGTCGGCTCCGTCAGCAGGATCCACCAGCGAGGGTGGAAGCTGTGGTGACGGATATAGCATGGTGGATCTAAAAAAGATAGTGGAGTAGTAGCTATCTGCTAATAACTATCTGTTTTAGATCAAACAGGTATAGATAGTAGACTGACTAATTATTAGTTGAATCTCTAGATAACAACTACCTCACTAGTTAGACCAAATCCGGTAATAACAGCTAATAGGAAGCCAACCTTATCCCTTCGCGTGACTGCCTCGCACTCACACGCTCGCGCGGGGGGTACTCACCAGCGTCGTCAAGTGCTCACCTGTCGCGTCGCGCCCCTCTGCCCCGCATCGCTTCCCTTGCCCCACCACCTGCCACCGCGCCACGCCTGGCTTTGCGCAGTGCTCACGTGGCCCTCCTCTGCCTACCGTCGGGCTGCCAGCATGGGGGCCGTGCCGCGTCCCTACTCCGAGCGGATCCCCTCCGCTAATAATAGAAATTTCAGTTCTCCACCGCACTCCCGTCCCTCTTCACCTACAGCTCCGCCGCGCTGGCCGACCTGAAGCTGACCACCTGTGTGCTCCCACCGCAGCCTGCCACCTTCGCTAGGTTCCGCAGCCTGACCATGTTGGACCTCAACTACGTCATATTCTCCGGCAAGAAGGGGTGGGAGCGACTGGAGGCCATGATCTCGACAACCGCGCCGACGTTGGAGAAGCTACGGCCGACGAACATCGCCTTTCACCATGCCACCCCCGACAAGGGCCTCCCTGTCCCTAGCTCCTCCAGTGGCTGAGCTGGGTTCCGCGGCCTGACCGTGCTAGACCTCAACTACGTCATATTCTCCTGAAAGGGGTAGAAGCAGCCGGAGGCCATGATCTCAGCAGCCACGCCAACGCTGGAGAAGCTGCTGCTGGCGAACATCACCTTGCACCATGCCAGCCCCAGCGAGGGCCTCCCTGTCCCTGTTGCGTGGATCATCCACGTGCCCAACCACCGGTGGCTGGAGCTGCGCCTGACGGCGCTGGCTCTTGGGAGAGCTTGAGATCCGTAACTTTGACTGTGCCACATTTCAGGTGGGTGCGAGAGCATATATCACCATCAATGCATAAAAGCTTTTCACAGAGGCGTTTTTTTATTTCCATAAGCAGGCAAGTGGACCGCCTCTAAAAAATGATTCTGTTAATTAGCTAGGTATCCAAACACCCTTACAACTAATAGGTAGATAGTGAATTGTTATCCAGCTAATATTAGCTATGTAATATTAGTTAGCCAACTACTATCAGCTAATGGATCCAAAAATGCTCTAATTATTTCAAAATTCGATAAGAAATGTGGGCGAACCAGTCACCACAAACAGGAAGTGTGCAGGCCACTTCCCGCAGCAGCTACTGCTGAAACAACACACTCCGTGCACACGCAGTCAGGCACGGCAGGGTACAGTTGGGATCATCAAAAATATCACTAGAAATTAGCACAGCAACACAATGTAAACATTTCCAGAAGGAGATATCATGATTGTTATTAAGTTTATAACAAAACTAAAAAAGGTGGAGAAAAGGAATTCTGCAAAAAAAAAAACAATCACTCGGTGCTCTTTCAGCCCCTAGCTCGAAACAACCAACCATACCACACAACAAACTCAAAACCAGTACATCAATGTCCCTATAGAATCAGCCATCACGACAACAACGAATGACAATCGGTCAATGTTAACTAGATATATAACGAATGGAATAAAAAATAAGCCTACAGGGAAGGAGGAAGCAGTTCAAGGATGTCATACTATGAACAAAAGAACTCTCAGCCAAACGAATGCTTCTTGGAAGGCAAATGTATTGTATAACTAGAAGGTGGTATTGCTTTCACCTGCAGATATAGAGCTGCCCTCCGACTTCACCACGACCTCTGCCTCTGACTTCACAGCCATGAAACCTTTTCCGATATCCAGCCCCTGGAGCCGCCCAAGCGAGTCATGCTGCATCATATCCGAGAAGGAATTGGGGTGGGATAGCATCTGGTGACTCGGGACATTCGGTGGAGGCTGTTGGAAATGATGCGGCAGCTGAATATTTCCATGCTGCTGAACTGTGTGTTGCTCCGAGAGCTGGAAGAATGAAGGGTTGTACGAGACGTGCTGCATTCCCATATTAAATTGTTCGTTAGACTTCGACATCTCACCTGTTGCTATCTTAAGCCTCTCCACTTCCTGCTTCAGTGCATCATTTAGAGCTGCATCGGTATGGATATTTCGTCAACAAATAACAGTCATCTGAGAATCAGTGCAATGGTTGCAAAATTTACAGATTGTTCAAGCACTACTAAGTACTAACTAATCATGTGTTGACATGGTACAGCTTCTGAAAAAACAATGCATCAGCTACCTAATATGAAGCTAGGCTGCAACAATGGGACACCCTCCCACATGAACTTATTACGAAAAAATGAATAAATGCTCACCATCACGCAGTTGAGCCTGCTGCTCGATGGCCTGCAACCTTATCTTGAGCTCAGCATTTTCTGCCGAAAGTCCAGTTGTGTCTCTCTGCCGAGTAAACAAATCAGTGTGAAGGATATTAAGCATATTAATACAAGAGTAAATTGCATGCCTAGACCCGAAAGTATTATGCGATTCTCGTTTGGATTGGTCTATTTGGCTCCCTAACATATTTTAGTGATCTTATCCCGGTCCAAAGTAGGCATGGATGCGATTTAAGCAAAAAAAAAAAAAAAAAAAAAAACCCTAAGCCAAGTCAAATTTTTATTTCATCGTTCTCCGCTGATGCCTCAATCGTCTGACATGCTCGGCACAGCGAGCCTGAGCGGTTCGGAAATGTCATGGGCCTCCCACTCAAGCACCTCATTGCGGCAGGTGGTCAAAATCAGGTCAACGAGGTCGGGAAGGTGCTAGGGGCCGAGAAGGATCCAGTCAGTTAGGGGGCGGTTAGTCTTCTCTTTCCTCTCATCTCAGCGTCGTAATTATCCCTCTTCGCGCTATCTGGCTTGCTTTCCTAGTCAGCATAGCATCACAGTGTTGCTGGCCCCGGCCACGTCAGGGCGCTCTACGGCGAACCGCAACACGCTATTGTCGATCCGTGCAACGATGTTGAAGGTGTGGCAGGCCGTGTTCTCATAGCGGATGGGAGCCAATTGTTGTGCTAGCATGTATGGCATGTCTTGCAACCCCACCACAGGTTGCATCACGGACCACTCCATGGCGAGGCCAACGACATTGTGATGACCCCTATGTGGAGAGGCCCACGTCAGGGGGTCATGTCCCGGTGCGTGCCTAGGCGGCGACGATTAACCAGCAATGGGGCGTCGAGGCGTGATGACGGCAGGGCGACGACATGGGGTCATAGCAGCTCCGATTTAGGTAGTGATTGCCGAGACACGTCGAGTGGGCGCGTGTCTCGCCAGTGCGGCACCGAAGCAAAGCAAAGATGTGCGAGTGCGGCAAGGCATTGCATGGTGCGAAAGAGTATAGCACTACTGGTGGCTCTACATGCGAGGGTGGCCACCGAGAAGTTGCCCGAATGGCACAATGGCCAGGCGACGGTGCACCTTCCTCGTCGAAAAAGAGCGGGAGAGAGGATTGGAGGAAATGAGTGAAGACGGTCTCATGCGTCCTTATCTGGCTATGAACTCGCCCGCTGGCTCTAGACGGCCAAAATGGAGAGGATGGGGAGCTCAGGGATGGTGGCTCAATGGATCTCTCAAGTGGCTGCTACAGTCCAAGGGCACAAGTCCATGCGTTTCAGGCATCAGGAGGGTTTCTAGGGTAGTGGCGGCAGGCCCACCCCTCCTTGGCATGCGCACTATGGATGCTCGGATTGAGGACACTGCGGACTCCGACCTATAGCGTCCACGTGATCACCTTCAGTGAGCGACCCGAGCTCCACAAGATCACCGGCGAGGTCCAAGCTCAGCGACGACCCTAGCGCTGCCACGACCTCCATGCCCACCTCCTGCCATTGCGCCAACTAGCCCACTCTAGTCCTCGTGGCCCTGCACCCGCCTGCCAACGCTGCCTAGGCCCACTCATGTGCGAGAGGCATGCCGGCGGGGACCTAAGAGTCAGCGTGAGAGGTGGGGAAAAAGAAAGGAGCCAAGGTGAATAGATAAGGCAGGCCCAGCGGGCTTTCTGCTTAAATCATGCCATCCACTGCAGGCACACATGTCGCACATGACTTTACCAGCCACATGGATGGCCACATCAGTTCATGGGCGTTGTTGTGTCAAGTTTGGACCAAGATGAGATCACTTGAATACATTAGGGAGCCAAATACGTGATTTCATAGTTTGGGGACCTAGACAAGAATCGCATAATACTTTAGGGACCGGCCGTGCAATTTATTCTGAATACAAAAGACATGGACACATTGCTCGTAGAATCAAAAAAAACCAGACAAGATCTGCTGAAAGTGTTGGCCCGATTGGATCTCAGATTCAGATCTGGAACTACCAGAGGGCAGCTTGGCCCTTGGCCGCTTGGATTGAATGGAAAAATGCAATGGCCTAATTTTACAGTGACACTCCCTTGCCCTTTATAGGCAAAAGGGGACTCCCACTTGCTACAGCATATTCCAACCACTAAAGTGGATGCTGAGCATATTCCTAACACTAGACTTGGGGGCCAAGAAAAGTAAAAGGTGCAGGAAAAGTAAGATACAAGTGCTTTAGCACTAGGCTTATCTATCAATCTCCCTCAGCCTTGTGCCGAGCACTGAAGGTGATCTACTGTAGCACAATCCTCTCCCTCATCTCCTGAAACTTGGACTTCCCCAGCAACTTGGTGAGAATGTCAGCCAGCTGATCAGTAGTGGCAATGTGGCTGGCCTTGATGCTTTCGTCCTCCAAGCAATCTCTGATGAAGTGGTACTTGATGCGAATGTGCTTACTTCTTTCATGGAAGACAGGGTTCTAGGCCAAAGCTAGAGCAGACTTGTTGTCCACCTTCACCTCAACCACATCCACCTTCCTGCCAAGGAGCTCTGCCATCATCATGGACAGCCACAGCACCTGTGTTGCGGCAGTGGTGGTGGTGATGTACTCCGCTTCACAGCTTGAGAGGGCCACCTTCTGCTTGAGGGACTGCCAGCTGACCAAGCAATCACCGAGGAAGAACATCGTCCCAGTTGTGCTCTTGCTGGTATCCACATCGCCGGCGAGGTCGCTGTCGCAGTAGCCGACAAACCGCGCCGTGTCGGGGGCCCTTCCGTAGTGAAGACCGTAGTAGAGGGTGCCCGCCACGTAGCGCAGGATTCGCTTGACGGCCTGCCGATGCTCCATCGTCGGCCGCTCCATGAACCGGCTCATGTACCCGACGGCGAACGCGATGTCCGACCAGGTATGGACCAGGTAGCGCAAGCTCCCAATGAGCCGCCGGTAATGGGTTGGATCGACCTCCTCCGCTGTGCTCTCCCGACTCAACTTGAACTTCTCCTCCATCGGGGTGTGGGCCGCATTGCAGCCTATCATGCCACCGAGCTCGAGAATGCGCTTGGCATAGTGGGTTTGGCAGAGGGCGATCCCGGTGGCATCCTGGCGCACTTCGACGCCGAGGTAGAAGCAGAGGAGGCCGAGGTCGCTCATGTCGAACTACCACGAGTGGAGCCTGCTGATGAAGGTCAAGCTGCAGGCCCGGCAGCTGTGGGAGGCGGTTCACGTCGACGGCGTCGACTACGATGATAATCGTCGGGCGCTCGAGGCGTTGTGCGCCGCCATCCCACCGAGCTCGGCGCCTCCCTCACCAACAAGGCTACGGCGAAGCTGGCATGGGAATCGATCGCCGCCGACGTGAACCACCTCCCACAACCGTCGGGCCTGCAGCTTGACCTTCATCAGCATGCTCCACTCGTGGTAGCTCGACTTGGTGAGCATCAGCCAGGGTGTTCCCTCGGCGGTGGCGTGGTCGACGCGGCTGCTCCCCGGTACTGCAGACGGTCTACCGCGACTCCGGAGCGAGAACACCCTGGCCGATGCTCACCAAGTCGAATTACCACGAGTGGAGCCTGCTGATGAAGGTCAAGCTACAGGCCCGGTGGTTGTGGGAGGCGCTTCACGTCGGCGGCGATCGATTCCCATGCCAGCTTCGTCGTAGCCTTGTTGGCGAGGGAGGCGCCGAGCTCGGTGGGGACGGCAGCGCACAACGCCTCCAGCGCCCGACGATCGTCGTCGTAGTCGACGCCGCTGACGTGAACCGCCTCCCACAGCCGCCAGGCCTGCAGCTTGACCTTCATCAGCAGGCTCCACTTGTGGTAGTTCGACTTGGTGAGCATCGGCCAGGGCGTTCCTGCTCCGGAGTCACGGTAGACCGTCTGTAGTACCGGGGAGCAGCCGCGCCAACCACGACGACTCTCTGGTGACGGCGACTGGCGGCGGCGCCCGACCAGGCTACGCGATCCTCCAGCTGGCTCCGGCTCCCGCTCCATCTCGGCGCGCAGTGCTGCGGCTGCGGGTACCGCAGCCTGGGCCGCAACCGCCGCCTGCCTGGCCGTCTCGGCCGCCGCCGCAGCCACTGCCTCTGCGGCAGCAAGGCGCGTCGTGCGATCGTCGGCTCTGGCACCCGGGGCGACGCGCGCTCTCGCAATCTGGCTGGCGGTGGACATGGCGCTCGCTCACTCAAGAACCCTCTCAGCTCTGATACCAAATTGTTAGCCCGATTGGATCTCAAATTCAGATCTAGAACTACTAGAGGGCAGCTTGGCCCTTGGCCGCTTAGATTGAATGGAAAAATGCAATGGCCTAATTTTACAATGACACTCCCTTGCCCTTTATAGGCAAAAGGGGACTCCCGCTTGCTACAGCATATTCTAACCACTAAAGTGGATGCTGAGCATATTCCTAACACTAGGCTTGGAAGCCAAGGAAAGTAAAAGGTGCAGGAAAAGTAAGATGCAAGTGCTTTAGCACTAGGCTTATCTATCAGAAAGTACAGGGTTTTATGCTTAAAATTTGAAGTTGCTAGCATAAGATTAACCAAGTAAGAAGGTGCTTATTGCAATGAATTGAATCAATGGGGATAGTATAGTCGCCAAAACTACAGTGCTTTTACTGCCATCGACCAAGTATTACTATTCAGATCTCCAACCGTTGAGAAAACTATATAAAACAACCCCAAGGAACATTTCGCCATAATCACTACATGTGGCATTAGTCAATACTCAACACTATCACATAAACTATACTAGCATGTGTTATAGATCTCATTGCATGTGCATCAGTCCAAAGAAAATATTATACTAACTGTTGATTTGTAAAGCAATTGGAGTTTAGCTCATACAGGTTACAGGTATGGACTATGGAGTGCAGCTGGTTGCACAGTATATAATAAATAAAGTGTCACTATGCACCGTGTTATTTTCACACTAAAATAAATGAACTGAACACGATTCAGCAATACATGAGGCAAGCAGAAGGATGATAGGCACCTGGAACAGTGTCAGCTGCGCTGAAAGAGTAGTAGCCTCTGTCTGAAGAGTTTGAACCTTCCGTTCCAATTCTGTTATATATCGAGCTTTTCTTTCCTTTGACCGTGCTGCAGATTGTCTGTTTGCAATAATTCTGCACAAAACCCAAGCTCAGGAACTCAATAGGCATTCATAAAGTATAGGTTACAAATACAACAAGCTGGTTAGATGATTTAGGTAAAACAAAGTTGACTTGGAAAGATCATACAGTCAACTGATTAAGATAATTTATAGGTAACGAAATAAAGTTAAAACTAGTTGACTTAGATTTACTAATCTGTTAAGATAATTTTGGTAATGTAGTAAAGTTCAAACATTTGACAAAGAGAGATGAAAGTTAACTTCCTAAGTTCAAACATCATGGGTGTGAATACAGAGATCATGAAAATTATTCACGAGTCACGACAGTTTGCCTACGCTCCAGTAACTTAACAGAATTTCTCATTGTATGTTCTTCTGCCTGTCATCCAAAATTTCAAGGTATAACGCTACACACAGATCTGGGAAATTAATCAAAATATGGTTGTGCCACAGAAGCAAGGTCAAAAAAATTAGTAAATGCCAAATAAAACTTAATAGCTTCAACAAGTTTCAACAATCACATACTGAAAAGAAAATCAATCAAATCCCGTTTGGAGCTCCGTCGCATCTGTTAGCAGCTGCAGTGGACCTATTAATCTAAGCTAAATTAGTTGCAAATCTGATAGTGTTTGATAGCACAAATGAATATCATGGTTTAAGTGTTATTTTATTTAGCACTATTACAACAAATATCGCCTGATATTAGATAAGTTAAATATTGAACAAATATTACAGAAATCAAAATGTGGCTGCAATCCAGGGGCAACTGTACCAGCCAGCAAAATGTAACCCTAAATTATAAATACAGGTTTACACAGCTTGCTTGTGCAAACTCTTGGGAAAATACTAATGACCAGTGCAGTTAACTGGAACAGGAAAAAAATATACTTGTGATGTAGAACTATAAGGCACATTTAACAGAGTATCAACATTCACCCCAACTTCATTTAACATGTCGGAGGGCCTTAGGCATGACATAATAGGAAGATAATGACATAAAACACTGCATGCCTATTTAATATGCGACAATTTTCTGCCGTTTACAGCCTCTTTGCTGATTTGAGAACCGTTGACAATGAACATCCTCTTAGCTGATTTAAGAACCTGTTTCGACAATGAACAACATAAAACAATCTTCAAGAGAGATACTAGCGTACCTAATAAATACATCGATACTAACAATGTTTATGTGAGTAAAACTGGCTATGCTATCTCCGTTGTATCAATGATTGCCAATACAGAAACGTATCAACGATAAATAATTAAATGTTACCAAAGTCAACGAGGACTTGAGGTCTTGAGGAGAGCAAACATGGAAACAATTGCATGAATTATCACAAGAGAAACATATAGCTTGGCCCTAATACAAAGTTTTGACAAACAAAATCTAACCATCTCCAGTGTAACTTTAATATACGCCAAAAGGGAAACGATAGGTTGTAGCATATAATTTTGTGCTAGAAAGAACCAGTTAGAAGTATGCCACGCTACTTATTGAGCATCTTGGAGGGAATCTAGATAACGCGGAGTGTCCAGCGAGGAAAACATTGCAACAAAGCAAATAAATGTTGTATCCTGCCTCTTCTGATCTCCATCTCTGTTTATTTAAGACTAAATGAACAGAAGAACATTTAAGGACCATGACACTAACCAACTAAACAAATACAAACACCTCAATAACGTTAAAAACATGGAGAAAATGCCACGAAAGTAATTCAAATTGATGCCACATCCCGCCAATTTCGACCTGTGCCTTCTGCTTATTTAAGGCTACTAAACGACACGAGACACCTTTACAAACTAAGACACTAACTAAGCAAACAAACAATGACATCTCAGTAACTTTTATGGGTGCTTGCTTTCACTTGGAAAGAAACCTAGTACGTGACAAGGATGACCTAGCTATCCAATTCAGTTGGTCAGCTTGCTGCAACCCTATCCGATAAGCTGCCTTTCACTATCCCGATGATTCCAGACCACGTCTCAAGTAGTTGGCAAGACTCACAGGTGGCTATGCTTCTTCTTTTTTTCATTTCGATGCACACAATACCAAAAGTCATTAAGCATTATGCGGCTTTTCCATCAATATAGATCACAAAAAGTAAGAACCATCTCACCTGCAACTCTACCAACCAAGCAGCTACCAAGTGCTGTCCTAAGCTAGTAGTGACATAATGCGAGGACGGTGGCAATGGACGAAGGGAAAAGGCGTCACCTTTTGACGCGCTTGGGGTCGATGGCAGCGAGCTCGGCGAGCTGCTCGGAAGACATGGCCTTCTTGGCCTCCATCACCTCTCCGAACAGGCCTCCGCCGCCGTCCTGCTGCCCGCCTGGGCCGCCGGCGCCGGCCCCCATCCCGAAGCCGTCGAAGGAGGCGCTGTGGCGGTGCCTGGCTGGGCGCGGCGGCGAGGAGGTCTCGGCGGCGCGGTCGCGGTCGGTGCCGGCGATCTTGTCCAAGTCCATGAAGGTGGAGAAGAGGTCGTCCTCGGAGCCGATCTCGTCGAAGCCGCCGCCCCCGCCGCCGGCCAGGTCGTCCGGGAAGCGGAAGGCCACCTCAGATCTGGCGCGGCGGTGGTGGCCCACGCGCGGAGGGGGCAGCCCTGCGCCCGGCGGCGGCGGCGGCGGCGCAGGCGCCCCGCCCGGGACCGGCGGCAGCGGGCAGGGCAGGTTGAGGTTGGGGCTACGCGCCGGCGAGCGCTGCGGCGGATCGCCGGGCTTCGGCGGCATCGCCATTGCGATGGGCAGGTCTGCTCCTCTCTGTCTGTCTCTCTCTGGTCGGCTGGGCTGTTGTCTGGGTCGGGGCTCGGGAAGCGCACGCGGCTACTCTACTCTTGGCTAGCTGCTCTGCTAGCTACTACTAGACAGTGGCGTGTTGGGTTCCGAAAGAGAGTGGAGTACGTGCGGGATCTGGGAACGAAGGAGGTGGGGTGGGGTGGGGTGGGCCCCCCGTAGTCGTAGTCATGTGATCGCCCACGGGGTCGGCTCTCGGCTGCCTTGTTTCGGGCTTCAGTGGGCTGGACACATCTTGGGTCGTTTCAAGCAGAGTTTGAGCATATAAATGGGCTGGATGTAAGGGCGTGTTTGGGAGATCGTTTGCTCAGCTTTTGAGCATGATAAGCCGAAAAGCCCGCATAAACGTCTTGCGTTACGAGCCTGCCAGCGAACGCGCTTCCGCGACTGACCGTCGCCCGCAACACTTCCCAAATCGCGAGCTTGACCCCGCTTTTCCCAAATCGCGCACGATTTTCCTCTCCCTGCCACTCGGACCCGATGCCCTCCCTCCTCTCCCCAGCACGCGCCCCCCGGCGGGACCGAGGCGGGCACGCGGCACCCAGGCGAGAGCGAGGCGGGTCTCCTGGCGGGCGCGCGGGGCCCGTCCCCCTCCTCCGACAGCGCGCGGGGCCCGTCCCCCTCCTCCGGCAGATCCGGCTTCGGTGCAGCGGATCCAGCACGGGAGCGGCGGATCCGACTCCGGCGCGGCACGGGAGCGGCGGATCCGACTCCGACGACGGTCCTCACCTCCTCTTCTCTGGCTCGCCTCCCCTCCCCTCCCTTCCGCCGGATCTGAAGGAAGGGCGCCGACGGCCTCTCTTCCCCTCGGACGGCGCCACCCCTTGAAGCATGCATGGGTTGCCTGTGTCGGGGAAGATGATGGTGGAGCCCGGGGTGGAGTGCCGCCACGCCAGCGCTTGGGAAGGCGAGGAGCAGGAGGAGGAAGAAGAGGAAGAGAAGGAGGGAGCCAGCGAGGTCTCTGTGGGGGGGCACTGAGTTGGAGGCCCATCCGGACGAGGAGGACGAGGTCTCTGACTCCGCCCATGGGTAGATATGTCAATTTACATCCAGGACAGATAATCACCCAGAAATAATCAGGACAGCCAAACGCCTAGTTTATTCAGACAGCAGATTCTCCAGATCATGACTTATCAGATAAGCCCGCTCAGCTTATAAGTGAGACTCAGAAAAGCTCTCCCAAACACGCCCTAAGTCCTTAATGCGGTGGATGGTGCAAGTTGCTCAGAGACCTTTTCCTTTTTTAATTAATGTTGCTCAGAGACCTTGGAACACTAACGAGAACAGGCTCTGCTAAAAATATATATATACGGACTTTGTTCTTTCCTAGCATGATTAATAAAAGAGCGGTGATGCTTTTTTCTAAAAAAAACTAATAGGAACAGGCTACCATCGATTATTTTGAAAATTTTAAAATAGTCGAGTTATATTAGGAGTACAATGGTTTGTTTATACGAGAGAAAATACATCAAGATATAACATGGAAGAAACTAAAAAGAAAGAAATGCTCAGGCAAACCTAGCAAAAACATAATAATTAATTTTCTCTTCTCTTCTACACCAAAAAATGATGAAAGGATATCGTCTGGCCGGCGAAGGATCGCCCGGACCTGCATGTTTCTTCGTCGCCGACTAGTGGACCCTCTATCGATGTTTCACCACCGATAGCCTGTCATGGGGGTACCTGGGGCAGTTTGTTCGGGCTTCAACGTATGCAGAACTCGACGGTAAACGCAAGAGATAGTCGATTTATCCTGTTTCGGACCCTCGACCGTGATCGAATAATAGCCCTACGTCCAGTCAGCGTTAGCCTTTACGTTGGATTGATTGTCCAGTGCTCTCTCCCCTGGAACCCTGCCCTCCTTTATATAATCAGGAGGCCAGAGTCCTAGTCGGTTTACAATAAGAGTTCCTAATAGAATTACAGAATAATATTACTACTAATATTATATGGAAAGAATTCTAGTTAGACTAGATCTTCTCCCTTCCTTGAGGGGTATCCCGTGGGTCCCGCATCGATAAGCCCCCGAGCACTTCATGGTTGAGCTCTAGAAGCCTCGTCTTGTTCCTTCAGGTCTTGCCGAGTAGGAACAAGCGTCGTCCGAGTGCTTTCTCGAGCGAAACCGTGTAGCGCTTCGTGAGATCTTCGGGTGGTGTGTACTTTTTTTTTTAAGAAAAAGTACTCCCATCTGGGTGTAGCCCCCGAGCCTCTTGCTATTTGGAATAAGGAGCTGGAGGGTCTTGTCTTGAAATTGCTCTGATTCTTCGTCAAAGGGTTCCCGAGCATATACCCGGGTTCTTTATCAAAAAGAACTCGGATATAGCTCGGTCCGGGTTCTTTTTGTCGTGAGGCCTTGAAGTGGTCTGTCTTGAAGAAGTCTTTTTGGTGACGTGCGCTTTTTCGAAGAAAAAAGTGCACTCACTGAGTGTAGCCCCCGAGCCTCTTGCTATTTAGAACAAAAAGTTCGAGGGTCTTATATCTTATGTTGTTTGAAAACTTCTGTCTTGAAGAAGTCTTCTGAGTGATGTGCGTTTTTTTAAGAAAAAGTGCACTCACTGAGTGTAGCCCTCGAGCCTCTTGCTATTTGGAATAAAGAGTTGGAGGGTCTTGAATCTGAGTTGTTCAAATAATTGAAAACCTCTCGTGTTGCAGTCCCCGAGCATATATCTGGGTTCTTTTATTCAAAAAGAACTCGGATACAGAATCTTGGCATATTCTCTGGTAGTCGGCTGTTGTCGGATGTAGTTGTATGGTGGTGGTTGAGTGTAAATGATGTTTGTTCACAAGTTGTACAGTGTTGGTATATTCTTCCGAATATGCTCGTTCTTGAGTACTATTCCTTCACGCCTGAGTCCTCTTTCATTGAATTCTGTCTTTTCACTGTGTCCTTTGTTAGGTTTGTTCCGTTGGTGCTTCCGGTCCATGTGTCATGCTTCTTTGGTCTATAAATACCCTCCTATTGTGATGTCCAAGATTGCAGAGGAAGCCGAGAGTCAATAGTATCTGGATGCCGTTGAAAAAGTGGAGCCTGAGGTCGAAGATTTAGCCAGGAGGATCGTGGATAATCTTAATATTGATATTTCTTCTCCTGATGACGATGCTTGATGTAATTGACCTTTGTACTCCAGCCTCTGTAATAGGATATTTTACTTCTTTTTGAATGAAGATTCTTTATTTTTTGTTGATGCCTTCTTTGCCTAGATGTCTTCGCCTTGTTTATTCTTTAAATGAGTTGTCCAAGTGATCAGAATTTTTTCTGAGTAGTCGTTTGTTGGTCGTGGTGCGCATCCACAGTTTATGTTGGTCGTGTTGTTTCATCCGTTGTAGGATCGCTCCTTGATAGGTCGAGCGTTTGTATGGCTTTTATCTGCGCCGTGTAATCAACTCGGTATATGTAGATCATTGTCTTGACAAATATTCTTGATTTGTCAAGTGCTTGTCTGGCTTTCGTCTGCGCCGTGTAAACAACTCGGTATATGTAGATCGTTGTGTTGATAAACTATCTTGATTTGCCGAGTGCTTGTCTAGCTTTCGTCTACGCCGTGTAAACAACTCGATGTATGTAGATCGTTGTGTTGACAAACTTTCTTGATTTGTCGAGTGCTTGTCTGGCTTTCGTCTACGCCATGTAAACAACTCGGTATTTGTAGATCGTTGTCTTGACAAACTTTCTTGATTTGCCGAGTGCTTGTCTGGCTTTCGTCTGAGCCGTGTAAACAACTCGGTATTTGTAGATCGTTGTCTTGACAAACTTTCTTGATTTGCCGAGTGCTTGTCTGGCTTTCGTCTACACCGTGTAAACAACTCGTGTTAAGTAGATCTTTGTCTTGACAACCTTTCTGTTCTTGTTGGTACTAAAAAGAATTAGGACCAGCGATCTCAAGTATCTTCAGCTTCTTCTTTTTAGCTTTTTTGCTTAACTCAAGATGTGGCCAGCATCTGGCTCTTTTTCTGGTTGTAAAAACATCTTAGGATGGGTTCGGGTGTTGGCTTATCAGCTACCCTCATCGGCAGGCTCAAGCATCTTTTCAGCTTCTTTGTTCACGGCCGGTATGCTAAGTCATAGTTTCAGTCATTTTGCTTTTTGGTTCAGGTGTTAGCTTATTAGGTACCCTCATCGGCGGGCTCAAGCATCTTTTCAGCTCTTTTGCTCTCGGCCGGTATGCTCAGGCATAATTTTAGCTATTTTGCTTTTTGGTTTGGTGTTAGCTTATTAGCTACCCTCATCGGCGTCATGTAAGCATCTTTTCAAACTCTTTTGCTCTACCGGTATGCTCAGCAGCATAATTTCACCATTTTGCTTTTTGGTTTGGTGTTAGCTTATTAGCTACCCTCTCGGCCATGAGCTCAAGCATCTTTTCAACTTTTTTTCTCTACCGGTATGCTCAAGCATAATTTTAGCCATTTTGCTTTTTTTTGTTTGGTGTTAGCTTATTAGCTACCCTCATCATGAGCTCAAGCATCTTTTTAGCTCTTTTGCTCTCTACGTGGGTATGCTCGGGCATAATTTCAGTCATTTTGCTTTTTGGTTCAGGTGTTAGCTTATTAGCTACCCTCATCGGCGGGCGCAAGCATCTTTTTAGCTCTTTTGCTCTCGGCTGGTATGCTCAGGCATAATTTCAGCCATTTTGCTTTTTAGTTTGGGTGTTACTTATTAGCTACCCTCATCGACGGGCTCAAGCATCTTTTTAGCTCTTTTGCTCTTGGCCGGTATGCTCAAGCATAATTTCAGCCATTTTACTTTTTGGTTCGGGTGTTAGCTTATTAGCTACCCTCATCGGTGGGCTCAAGCATCTTTTTCAGTTCTTTTGCTCTCAGCTGGTATGCTTAGTGAAAACAACTGGGGGAAAGCCATAATAAGACATATGTTATCGAGGAACACCATCTTTATTGATTATGAACGTTGATATGCTTAGTGAAAACAACTGGGGGGAAAGCTATAA